ATGTTCTAACATTCACCGAAAGTTATGTATAACTAATTGTGAATAAAGCAGAAGTTAATAAAAAAAACACCATCTTTGTACCCCCGAGACTATAACTGAGTGGAAGTCTAAGTGAAAACTCGCGTTGCTTGTTTGGACACAGAACAAACTGCAATGGTACAGTGCTTTAAAAAATGTATTTATAGTCGCTTGGACGTAAGACTACACTATTTAACACATTAGACGGCTATACAATATTTAGAAGAATATTCATGAACATCAACAGAAAATATCAGTACGTAAAAGATAATACGAGTACCAAGAGAAACCCACAGCTTTTATTTAATTTCATTTTGATTCTACTGAAGTAATGGACAACTTTGCTAAATTAATAAATTATATCCATTTAATATACAGTTTGACTCTTTTTAACAATTTTTCATAAATGCAATGACGACTAACAATTAACCAAATTATTCTTCCAACTTAATCTACATAAATAACTAATAGAATTCTATTATAATACCTACCTACTACAATAAATCCTCTTTGAGAGAAAACGAAGAAGGGAATGTCACCTCTTTTAAGGCAAATGAATAGAGTGCTGGTCATGGATTGAAGTTTGCTATTGACCGTTGGGGGAGGGGATAAAAAAAATCGTTGAGATTAAGGAGGAAGAGGGGAACTCTCGAAGGGGAAAGAAATCTTTTTAAATAACAATAAAGGAATTGTGGATACTTCTTCTTCCGCATTTCTCCAGTTCACCGTTTTCGATCTCCACAGATCTCACCAGGTGTTAAACTTCTGTCCTCCATGGCTTATTTCATGTATTTTTCCCATTCCAGAGTTGACCTTCATCTCTTCCTTCTTCTTGATGGTTACCATTCCATATTTTCTTTGGCTATCTTCCTTCAGGCATCCTCTGGACTTGTCCATACCATTGGAGTGCTTTGTTTTCTAATCTTTTAGTAATTGAACAAATAACCCCGTCTGTTTCCATACATTCTCATTTCGAACTTTCTCTAATCGTCTTAAATATAGGCATCTTCTCATCTAGTCCATTTTTACTGTTTGTATTTTGTCTCTGATTTTTTTTATTTTGGGCCACATTTCTCCTTCATGAAGGACTATGTTTTCTACCACGCTGTGGAATATTATTTTATTTATTTACTGTCGGATATTGCTTTTCCATATCACACACTGTGTAGAACGTTTGTTGCTTTCTTCCCCATTATCATTCTGGAGTTAATATTCTTATCACAGGTGCTAGTATTACTTATTATTGAGCCAAGGTATTTAAATTGTATACAACATTTAATATGTATCACCGTCTACTATTACGTCCATTAAAGTTCGTCCAATGCACATGCTTTCGGTTTTATTAAAATGTGTATCTAAACTCCATCAGTTGTATTCTTCTTTAAGTTGCCGTAGCATATATTCATTGTCCTCTTCATCGTGAATAATTCAGATTTGATCGTCCGTGCACAAGAGAGAGTGGAGGTTGGCGTCTCCAATTTCAATTCCCTCGCCTTAACACTCTTTGCACCATGTACGCAGATCATGCTCAATCGATTTCAAGATTTCAATGGAAATACACTTTTTTGATTACAAAAAAATGTTTGTTTTTTTTCAAAACATGTGTCCGTCTGGTGTATGTGATCAACACTAGCGCCTAAACCATGCAAAGAATTTTTTCCAAATTGAAGAAACTCCTGTCCATTTGGCCCGAGTGGAAGCTCTGCGGTTTTGAAAATCATTCATTAGTTTTTGGGGATACTTTACATGACGCCTCTGGGACGTTTTCAAAATTTTCTCCAAAATGGCTCCAATTTTGTATTTAAATTTCTTATAAGAATAGAGTCAAATGCACTTTAAATATGACATAGGTCCAGTTTTCTCGATTAACTCTAAATTTTCGAAAATTTCAAAAGTTTGATATTTTCGGGTTCTTCCTTCAACAAGAAAATTAAGGATAGATATATTTTTTTCAAATACAATTTATTGTTCATAGTGAGTTCTTTCATTAACATCAAGTACATTTTTTGAACATTTAGTAGTTTTCGCGCAATATTGCGTGCAATTTGAGCAATTTTATAAAATTTCAAAAACACGGTTTTCTGAAAAACGGCTTCAAATTTTTTCTTTAAAATTGTGATAAATTCATTCTATAAGATGACATAAACGTATATTGCTTTATTCTTTAGTTTTTTTCAAAAATTACAACAATGTAATTTTTTTACTTGTCTCTCACGTCATTAATATTTACATAAGTAGCAGTTTGCTCGCATTATAATATTTATCCTTTAAATAATGTCACATAAACTTTATCGAAAACTCAATTGTTTTCTGTCAAAACTAGCTCAAAATTTCGCAATTTCAGAAGAACTTAAACGCCATTTTCTCAGAACGGCTCCAATTTTTTTCAAACTTTTTGAACGGTTTGTGCTAACTTCACTCTTTAATAGCACGTAAAGGTCATTTCGGAGTATTTGTCTTTTTTTTAATTACACAAATTTAATTTTTTAATATCTCTCACTTCGTTAATGTGCTAATTTCCAGCAATTTGTATGCACTATTGCATTTGTGAGTTAATGTGCTTAAAATAACTTCTAATGAAGTTTTTCGAAAACTTAAAACTTTGCTGTGAATAAATGCTTCAAATTTCGAATATATTGTTGGGCTTCAGTGCCATTTTTCTTAAAAACTGCTCCAAAGATTTCAAACAGAATTGCCATTTAGGACGCGGTTTTAGTGTTCTTTAATATTCTTAATCTAATACTTGAGTTCTATTATTAGTTAAGAAGATGTCAAAAAAATGTACTTCGGGCGGCGATAGATGCCAGCAGGCAAGAGTATGTGGCAAGTTCGAATAGCCAGCCGAGACCAAAGGAATACCGGAAAGGAATACCGGAAAGGAATACCGGAAAGGAATACCGGAAAGGAATCGAAAAGTAATACCGGAAAGTGTGGGTCATTCTGTAGCACCACTAGTTGCTCCATGTTCTGTTGGCTATATTTGCGCCTTCCTCTGCTCACATGTATCTTTGCCAAGAATTCCGAAGTTGCTTTGTGGCTTCAGTCAACAGTTTAACGACGCGTCGTGTCGCAGCGCTCGCGGAAGTCGCTGGAGGCGCGGGCGCGGCTGCGAAGTTGCTCAGCCACGCGTGCCAGCCACGCGTTGTGTCAGATAGCGGCGCCACATTCGTCAGCACCGCTTGGGAGCCGACGAATAGCCGCACTTCAGCCTCGCGCTAAAGCACAAAAGGCCTTTGTCACGAACTTTGTTTTAATGGAGAAGCAAATGTATGTTGACTGGGCGGACTGAATAAAATGTTTTCTGCGTAGGTCTAGTCGCTTAGGGAAATAGAAAATAAATAGTAATTTTTTTTATTCTTTCACTCGTGTGTGTTGTTAAGAGTAAATGTTACATCAAAAAATATAATCAATATTTTGAAATTATGTAGAGGAAAATAAAATATTATCAAATTATGAATCCATGTTTTTATCTCGCATTATTTTCTTACTTTCTCATATACGGAATAAAATCGTGTATTTCCGTCAAAACATTGACATCGATTTTTCGCAGCATTATGTAACCTCTTTATTGTATGTGTACGAGAAGGTAAAAACATACCTGTTCCTGTGGACGCGACGCCAGAACCTGTAGAGTGAGAGGTGAGATTGAAGTAAAAAGGTATTTGAAGAATTCATAGCACAAACGTTGCCGCTAACACACCATCCGGGAACATTCTGTTGTGATACTTGGTTAAAATAACAAAGCAAATTCTGCCTGACTGTCCCTTGAAGAATAGTCTTACTTTGAATTAAACGCTCGTGAATTCTGCGGGTATACTATTTCTCTTCCCTTCCTCACCACAGAATATAGTTTTGTCACGAAGTTCACTGGAGCCTCATTCCGAATACACTCTATCTTTTGTCTGTCTGACTCTCTCTCTCTCTCTCTCTTTCTCTCTCTCTCTCTCTCTCTCTCTCTCTCTCTCTCTCTCTCTCTCTCTCTTCAAAACGTAATTGATATGTTAAAACTTTAACAGATATGTGTGTTGTTTTAAGTAGCGTAGCGTAACTTAGCGCAACATTTTTAACTTTCTGGTTGTTGTTTTTATTGTACCATTCGTTTTATATTGTTATATTTAATTTCATATTTCCTTTGTGGACACACAATTCTGATCCTATCGATAGTTTGTTTGCTTAAAATCAAAACGACTGCTTTGTGAAAAGGTATGTCGCTGCCTTTCCACCATGTATACGTATGTAGTTATGTAGTTATACATACGTATACAGGTGTACACATACGTATACGTAAGCTTCCGCGGCTCGAATCCATGAATTCTCGGCTATCCGGGAGACGCCGCGTCGTTGGCTGGGTTGGCTGGGATGTTTCGCCTGACATGTCGCAGGCTTCCTCAGGGCAGTGAGACGTCTCCCGGATAGCCGAGAATTCACGGTGTACACATACGTCTACGTGGTTCATGGATACGTCTTACGTGCACCACGCGCAAGACAACGTATGCGATATGCGATGTCGCACCGTGCCTGCCCTTGCTCGAGCGCTCTGCTCCGTGTGTTGCAGCGGTGGCGCTGGGAGCGCAGTGCCTGTACGCGCAGACGTGCAGCTTCACGGACCAGCACGCGGAGTGCACGCAGATCAACCACAACGCCGTGTGCCAGTGCAAGGCGGGCTACCACGAGGTGTCGCTGCAGCGGCCCAGCCGCCGCGTCTTCTGCTCTCCTGGTGAGCGGCGCCCCCGGAGGCGCGCGAGTCACTCCGAGGTCAGACGCCGTCTCGCCCGCGCGCGTCCCCCGCCGTCTGGGCTGCGTTACGTTCAAATGACTAAAATAGTTGTTTTAGAATGTTTTAAAATGGAGCTATAATATTTGCCCTGCTAATCAGTACGATTTTCTAACGTAACTAGTAGGTTAATCGAACTTCATCTCTTTATTAGTGGTTCTTTTAAATACAAAAGAAAAATAAAATCTAATACTCTTCTTGATTTTTTATTCTTGCGAGAATTTTGTAATATATTTAGAAAATTGATTCATAAAGGAAGTGAATTAATAAAAATGAATAAGAGTAATAATAATATTAATAATATTAACAATAATGATACTCTAAAATTCGAATTGCATCCTCAAAATTCCTAACATAAATATAATAATAATAATAATAATAATAATAATAATAATAATAATAATAATAATAATAATAATAATTCATTTATTACTCTAAATATCTATCGTCATTTGAATATTAAACTAATTTCCCGTTAAAATATCCAATCCCTTATGCAGAGATACATAAGTTATACACGTATATTCTCTATAGTTGTAAATACATTCGTAATATTACTAGTTTGCTATATAAAGTATTAATCAATCATTAATTAACTGTTTCCTAAAGTGTCCTGTTTTGAAGTATTCTGAAGTCCACACGCTCTTTCGAATTCCTTAATTAGTAATATCGAGGGTCGCGTACACACTATTTTGCTTTTGTTATAATCGAAACTTAGAATGTAACACACTTACTGTATGACAATACATAACGTTATTTACCATTGCATTTCGCAATTGTGACCAGCAAGAAGTCAGAAAAGGCAGCTACGCTAGGGCGTTAATGGTGTTATAAAGGAATCCAGATCAAGAGAGGTTGCAATTGGCCTTACGGCTGTGCAATATGAGATCACTCCTGCAAAATGAAAAAGTAACGTCATGGAAGTAACTGAGTTATGCCTAACTTGCATATGGCACTACTAGAAAGTTTGACACTACTAGAAAGTTAGTTGCATATGACACTACTAGTTCATGGCGTGATCAAACGTACAAAGTTGCGGGCAAACCAGCAATCACGTTTTTAATTGTTGAATGTTGGACTTTCCAGCGGTTGTTTACCTTCAGAGCCAAACATTGATAGTTTTCCCGTTATACGGAGCTCCGTTTGTTTTTGCACTATGATTTGCATGCCTTGATTGCGCAGTTACCGGACGTTTCTACAACTGACAAAGTTCGAGTAAGATCGTGAGTCTTCGTGAAGTCGTGTGAACTTATCGCAGAATTGCGCAAGACATGGTCGAGAGGTGTGCACAGTACATGTGTGTTTTCGCCTATGATGAGCAGAAGGTGCTCATAGTCCCAGCCTAGGTTCAGAGAGTAACGATTCAGATGCAGACTACAGATACGCGCTAAGACCGTCGCATCATACGAAATTCTATATCGGACCATATTGCGACTTCAGACCAAATTTAGAGCCAATTTTGCAGCGAGGATTGAAATGATGGTACTCGAATAAAACTCAAATGCAGCTGTATTGGTACTTCAAATAGAAATAGCCAGGTACTCACTCAATACAAAACTCAATACAAAATTAGTCGACCACTGGTCCAAAATAAAATTCCGTAAAACACCGCAGCTTCCATCACAATAACAGTGAGAATAACCACGTAACAATAAGAAATTACAAAAGCAGAACCGAACTGTAGAAGCGAAGTTCGTGGAACGTAAAGAGGGCAACGCTGCTTAGATTGCCGAACACGAAATATTTCTCTTCCCCTCCGCGTTCTACGTCATTTGCCCTTGCCCCCTCTTCTCCGCAGAGGAGGGATTGCTGCCCCTCCTCACTCGCAGCTGCCTCGGATACGACAGGGGGTGTCAGCGGCGACCATCCGTAGCAGTTTACGTGATACTTCGATCGTGCATGGCGTTAGACAGTCATCCACTGTCGCCTCAGCACCATACTGGTCGCTTCCTGAGGGGCACCTGGCAGGACGAAACGCGACTTGCGTCCAGTTATGGCATCGATTGGTGTTCGCAGTTGCCCGCTCATACACCTTTGTTCTGTTCCAGGGAGTAAACTCCGGGGTTTGTTCTTTAAGGCGATATCCTCCGAAGAGAGCTCTCCCAATTAAGGCTGAGTGGGACCATCATGCTAGGTCAGAGCTATTACGAGTGGTTTTCCGGACTAGCACCGGAGTCTGAGTAAGCGCCAGGAAAACGTCCTACTCAATTGTCCGTGAGTTTCGGGTGGTGCTACGAGGAATTCGAGAGCCCATGGGAAACACCCGAACTACGATCCAGGAGACTTGGGGCCCCCATACCGTCTTCGGAGTGCACACACCGGTGTGCTAATGATGCGAGTACCGCCTAGAGTATGTCTTCAATGATGGCGGCCAATTCTGTCTTGGGGACAATGATGGCCGCATGCGAATGTAGTAGCATCGTGCAGATCAGCGCAAACGTCGGCATATATACGACCGCGGTTCACTGGGGCAATATGATGTGGTGAGCCATAGCATAAAATGTGGTGATCCATAGCACAAACAAGGCGATGTGCTATTCCAACAGGACAATGCACGTCCTCGTATAGCTCTTACCAGCAAACGTGCTATCCAAGGTAAACGTCAAGTACTCTAACCTGCATGATCCCCACATTTGTCCCCAAATGAGAATGTTTGCGACCGGTCGCATTGCTCGAGATGCAATATCGGCAGGAAACCTTACCCTATTACAGCGCTATGCAGTCCTTTCCGCAGGGTAACATTAAGATCATCGCCATTAGAGAGTTGCAGCCTGCATTGCTGCAAGAGGCGGATACACAGGGTGCTGACGGGTGACACGTCCTATAGACCGCACACTAAAGAATATGGCTTTTGAGTGTGATCAATTGTTATATAATATCTAGAGAGAGCTTCATTAAAATTTCCCTCTCCCAGTGCGACGGAATCACAGTGTTATTTTTCATTTTGCAAGAGTGTATAATTGCACAATCTCCGTTTTAAAAATCAATGTTAAACATTACAATCCTAAAATGTATCTCTAACACATAGCTATGTACATTTTATCTACGAATATAACGTCGAGCAACTTCCATTCTGTTGCATCCTTTCTAGAATATAAGGTACTCTGCGAATCACATTCACAAGGATGCTACGAGTTTAGAAATTACCCAAGTGTTAGGAAACACAGATACTTTCTTCAAAGATGTTATGTATTCTCGCAGGAATACAATCAGTAGTTTAAGGATTGATTACCGTACTAACCAACAAATGACCGCGGTCTTTCTACACAACGAAACTGTAATTGCATTTCTATTGTTGTAATCAAGCCATGCTGCAACCTCATTTTCTGGATAGGAAACCAATGTAGATTTTTTAATAGCTCTAACAGGACATGCGCCTGACTGGCTATTTAGACGCTTGTTGATTGTCATATATGTTTAGCAGACAAGTGTTTCCAACTAAAAATTTCCCAGCACAGTTCTCTTGAATGTTTCGCTGGGTGAGATATACGGATAACAATGAACTTGTATAACGAAGTATTGACTTGTAGCGTTAAAATAGTTCGATTTTCATTGTTTTTAAAATCGCTGCATAAAGGTTAATACCTCAAGCGTCCACGACAAGAAAATGAAAACCGAATGTGACAAACAACATTTACAATAGCGCCATTTTCTTTATCGCAGAAAGACAAGAGAAGCACGTGAGTACGAGTCATCAGCTGTAGAATAATAGTGTACTTAATTTACAAAGTATCGACTTGTACAGTTAAAACAGCTCGATTTCCATTCTTTTTAAAATCATTGCTTAAAGTTTAATACCTCAAATACCCACGACAAGATAATGTAAACTGAATGTAACTAACAACCTTTACGAAAGCGCCATTTTGTTTAACGCAGAAAGAGAGGCCAAGCACGTTAGTACCGGCCACCATCTGTATGATAGAAGTGTACTTGCGTTGCAAAGTATCGACTTGCACAGTTAAAATAGTTCGATTTCCATTCTTTTTAAAATTTTTGTATAAAATCTTACCTCAATCGTCCACGACAAGATAATGTAAACTGAATATAACTATTAACCTTTTCGAAAGCGCCATTTTGTTTAACGCAGAAAAAGAGAGTCCAAGCACGTTAGTACCTGCCACTGTCTGTATGACAGCAGTGTACTTGCGTTGCAAAGTATTACAGTTAAAACAGATTTCCATTGTTTTTAAAATCTTTGTATAAAATCTTACCTCAATCGTCCACGACAAGATAATGTAAACCGAATATAACTAACAACCTTTTCGAAAGCGCCATTTTGTTTAACGCAGAAAGGCAGGAGACGCACGTGAGTACGAGGGCCGGAGCCAGGCGCGCGGGCGGGCTGGCAGGGGGCGGGTGGTGCGGGGCGCGGTGTGGTGGCGGCGTGGTGACGGCGCGGCGCGCTCGCGCGCGCGTGGTGACGCAGACCAGGTGATCCTGCGCGGGGCAGACGTGCCCACGCTGTTCGGCGTGGCGACGGGGCTGATCATCCTCAGCGGGCTCATCTGCTTCGTGCTCAAGCTGTTCAGCCGCGCGCGCTACTCGCGGCCGCGCCACTACGCCAACGCCAACCTGGCGCCGCCCATCCTCTTCTCCAGCGAGACAGGTGCGCCGCCCGCGCCGGCCCCCGGCGCCCCACCCCCCTTCGAAATTACCCGCTCCTTTCAACTTTGGAGATTTGAGAATTATTTGGAAACAAAATTTTTTATAGCATAATGATATTTCAACTAATTTTTGTATCTTTCGCCTAGTAAATTATTCTGTTTACAAAAGGTAAACAGAAAGTTGTTAACAGTCGCATATCAATGACTTCCGGTACCCGTAGATCACCAATAAGAACGGTGGGATGTGAAACCGAGAAGAGAAGGGTATACATCGGACCCCAGAATAAGTTGAAATATTGAAGGAAAATGTTTAATATTTTTTACGTTAGTGTATTGGGC